AAGCATATATCATTAGGTTCTTTAATAATAACAGTTGACATAAACAAAATAAAGCATAACCTCATATTTTTATCAAAATACCAACTTTTATTTTGAATTAAAAAAAGTAAAAAAGTAAAAAAAAAAAAAAAAGAAAAAAAAGCCAATTATTGACCAATTTTTGCACCAAAGTTTGACCCGCCTTCAAGGTTTCACGACCTCACACCGCCTCAACCGCCTCACACCGCCTCACATCCAAAACCCGATTTTTCAATCCTTTGCACCAAAATCGTAAAGGTTTGGGACCGCCTCCGTCTCCGAGACTGATTAATCGGCCGATTCGGCCGATTTTTAGAGCACTGACTATTACTATTACTATTTCTTTTTTGAGAAGAAACAAAACGAGTTATTAGATTTGAACCTCCATCATTACAATGTTACGAATAGAACTAGGTAGCGTAGTAATCATACAAGGACCTTCGAAGGAAAGACGAGCCACTTCATGCGCTGCTATATTCTTTTGTCTCTTGATGTGACTTGTTGAAAAATAATCGAAAGAACCAATAACATTCCGAATATTTGCGACAATAGTCCAATAACTCCCTCGATCATCTCTACAACAAGAAATCACATTTATAACAACACTAGAATCGCCTTCAATGACCACTTTGATCCAAAGATTATTCGGAGCCTGAGTCACCGCAAGGTAGGCTGCTTTCGCTTCAGCTGCTGAAGGATCTAGGAGTTGCAGAAGACATAGTGAAGACCACCCGACCCACTCTATATGATCGGGCAATGGCCTCCATAACTACCCATTATTTACGTCAGCGTTGCATCAAAATTCACCTTTATCACATCATTTTCCGGCGTTCTCCAGTGAACATCAATATTATCATCAACCATGTCTAGTTGTAGCACTCTAGTTGACGGTTTACTTAGCATATCCCCATATTTATTACTATTACTATTACTAATACTATTACTGTTTACTAATACTAATTACTACTACTATTACTACTACTACTATTACTACTATTATTAGTAGTACTATTATTACTATATATTATTATTATTACTATTATTACTATTATTATTACTATTCTTACTACTATTCTTAGTATTATTACTATTACTCTCTTATTATTACTACTGTTCTTATTATTATCATTGTTTTTATAAATATTCTTGTCACTGTTATTATTGTTATTGTTATTATTGTTATTGTTATTATTATTGTTGTTATTATTATTGTTATTATTATTATTATTATTATTATTATTATTATTATTATTATTATTATTATTATTATTATTATTATTATTATTATTATTATTA